ACCTTTGGACTTTTTCCAGCTTCGTCTTGTGCTTGACAAGGTACGGGCTCCATGCTGGGGCCGCATACTCCAGGATTGGTCTTACATATGTGGTGTACAAGATTCTGAATGATTCCTTACACAGGTTCCTGAACGCCGTTCTGATGTTAGCCAGCCTCGCATATGCCGCAGACGTTATTCTCTTTATGTGGGCTTCAGGAGACAGGTTTGGTGTGATATCAACTCCTAGATCTTTCTCTCTGTCTGTTTCATTAAGTACTTCATCTCCTATTCTGTATCCTGTGCCTGGCCTCCTGTTTCCACTGCCTAGTTTCATTACTTTGCATTTACTCGGGTTGAACTTCAACAGCCATTTGTTGGACCATTCACTCAGTCTATCCAGGTCATCTTGTAGCCTCCTACTATCATCCTCTGTTTCAATCCTCCTCATAATTTTTGCATCGTCGGCAAACATTGAGAGGAACGAATCTATACCCTCTGGGAGATCATTTACATATACCAGAAACAGTATAGGTCCAAGGACTGACCCCTGCGGGACTCCACTTGTGACGTCTCGCCAATCTGAGACCTCACCCCTCACACAGACTCGTTGTCTCCTGTTGCTTAGGTATTCCTAAGCAATAGGTATTGTGTGTGTGTGTGTGTGTGTGTGTGTGTGTGTGTGTGTGTGTGTGTGTGTGTGTGTGTGTGTGTGTGTGCGTGTGTGCGTGTGTGTGTGCGTGCGTGTGTGTGTGCGTGTGCGTGCGTGTGTGTGTGTGCGTGCGTGCGTGTGTGCGTGTGTGCGTGTGTGCGTGTGTGTGTGCGTGTGTGTGTGTGTGCGTGCGTGCGTGCGTGCGTGTGTGCGTGTGTGTGTGTGTGTGTGTGTGTGTGTGTGTGTGTGTGTGTGTGAGATAATATGACTCCATGTGTGAGAGAGTACAGATGTTGTGGGATTATATACCTATAATGCCAGTGTGAAAATAGGTACGGTGCCCAAGTCCCCCTAGATCTCTCTCTCTGTCTCTCTCCCTCTCTCTGTCTCTCTCTCTCCCTCTCCCTCTCCCTCTCTGTCTCTCTTTGTCTCTCTCCCTCTCCCTCTCTTTCTCTCTCCCTCTCTGCCCCCTCCCTCTCTGCCCTCTGCCCCCTCCCTCTCTGCCCTCTGCCCCCTCCCTCTCTGCCCCCCTCCCTCTCTGCCCCCCTCCCTCTCCCTCCCCTTCTCCCCCCCTTCTCCCCCCTTCCCCCCCCCCCTCCCTCTCTCCTACTCTCCCACGTCACCGTAACACCAAAAGAACGCTTCACACAGTAGTGTCGTCACCACGCAACTCACAGTCTCAGAAAAATGTCATCGAAGTTTTTTAGTTTGACGAGGGAAAATGTTATCTCCAGCTCAGCCTGTCTTCTTAAAATGAAAGTCCTTGTAGTAACTATTTGGTCGAAAGTACCAATAGGTAGTGATGGACCGCCAGAAAGTACCAATATGTAGTGATGGACCGCCAGAAAGTACCAATATGTAGTGATGGACCGCCAGAAAGTACCAATATGTAGTGATGGACCGCCAGAAAGTACCCATATGTAATGATGGACCGCCAGAAAGTACCAATATGTAGTGATGGACCGCCAGGAAGTACCAATATGTAGTGATGGACCGCCAGGAAGTACCCATATGTAATGATGGACCGCCAGAAAGTACCAATATGTAGTGATGGACCGCCAGGAAGTAGCCATATGTAGTGATGGACCGCCAGGAAGTACCAATATGTAGTGATGGACCGCCAGGAAGTACCCATATGTAATGATGGACCGCCAGAAAGTACCAATATGTAGTGATGGACCGCCAGGAAGTACCAATATGTAGTGATGGACCGCCAGGAAGTACCCATATGTAATGATGGACCGCCAGAAAGTACCAATATGTAGTGATGGACCGCCAGGAAGTACCAATATGTAGTGATGGACCGCCATAAAAGACCAATATGTAGTGATGGACCGCCAGGAAGTACCAATATGTAGTGATGGACCGCCAGGAAGTACCAATATGTAGTGATGGACCGCCATAAAAGACCAATATGTAGTGATGGACCGCCAGGAAGTACCCATATGTAATGATGGACCGCCAGAAAGTACCAATATGTAGTGATGGACCGCCAGGAAGTACCAATATGTAGTGATGGACCGCCATAAAAGACCAATATGTAGTGATGGACAGCCAGAAAGTTCCAATATGTAGTGATGGACCGCCATAAAGGACCAATATGTAGTGATGGACCGCCAGGAAGTTCCAATAAGTAGTGATGGACCGCCAGGAAGTACCAATATGTAGTGATGGACCGCCAGGAAGTTCCAATAAGTAGTGATGGACCGCCAGAAAGTCCATCGAATCAATGGACTTCAATCAAAAGTTTACACCCAATCGCAACGCTGTAAATGTTTCTCCCACGTTCTACAAATAGCAACAATTGCCTACAGAACCTGAACACCTAAACCTACGTATGCACAAAATGTTAATCCAATAATATTAATTTATATATGAGAAAATTCCTATTTTGACTGAATAGCATATTCAAAATTCTTGAATGCGCCTTCGGGGATCGGCCACGTGGAGGAAATGAACTGAGCCTCAGGACACGTTGCATAAATACCGAGTTTGGCGGGTGGGTTAATGAGCATTTAGCCTGTCTTGACGAGGACGGGCTGCTATGAGCGCGGGGCTGCGGTGTTTGACAACTTGATCGGTGATTCGCTTGTTTTAGTCTCGAATCGCAGCTTCTAAACGCCTATTCCACGAGTCTGTCCTCAGCTAGGCCACAAAATGCTAAAATATTATATAGTTGTATTTAAGAAAATACCGATTTTCAATTCGGGTTGACGAGAACGAGAACATGGTGACGCCTTTGGAGTCGGAGGAAGATGGGAGGAGCATTGCCTGAAGGTGAATTGTGATCTTCAGGAAGAAAATACTTTCTCTAGCAATAGTATTATTGCCTAGTGGGAATATGTATATGTATACATATGTAATGTATACATATGTATATGTATACATATGTATATGTATACATATGTATATGTATACATATGTATATGTATACATATGTATACATATGTATATGTATACATATGTATACATATGTATATGTATACATATGTATATGTATACATGACTGCTTCCCAGTCGAGTGGGTCAATGATAACCTACATAGAGCTGATTCGACATGAATACTATAGTCTCTCCAGTGAAAAGTGTAAAAAAAACGAGATGAATTCATGTTTTGGATACACAGAAAACGTGTATAGAGATGCATTCATGAGTCCGAGAAGGACTGATCTCAAGCAATCTCATCGGCCTCTTTCCCCTACTGATGTTCCCCAGCCAGTACTCCCCTAGTTGTGACAGCGGGGGTTGAGCTCTGGCTCTTGGGTCGTGATTTGAGCTCAACCAAAGCCAGTAGCGAGGAGCTCCAGTTGGTTAAATATATTCTTGCCTGTGAAATGTTACTTGATAACGGTCATCATTGCCGTTATCAAGTCGACTTGCTAATGGTCCACGACGGACCGAAACGTCGTTGTCTCTTCGCCTTGTGATGAGTGGTTTGGTTGTTATATCTTCAGTCCCGTTATTGTGACTCGTCGTTTGCCATATGAAAATCACTTTATTTGGGTCGTTCCTGGACCCTCGTTAAGTCACGCAGGTTCGCGTTACTGTGACTTATTCTCAACGCAGGTCTGTAACACAGGAGTGGACGCAACACAGGAGTGGACGCAACACAGGAGTGGACGCAACACAGGAGTGGACGCAACACAGGAGTGGACGCAACACAGGAGTGGACGCAACACAGGAGTGGACGCAACACAGGAGTGGACGCAACACAGGAGTGGACGCAACACAGGAGTGGACGCAACACAGGAGTGGACGCAACACAGGAGTGGACGCAACACAGGAGTGGACGCAACACAGGAGTGGACGCAACACAGGAGTGGACGCAACACAGGAGTGGACGCAACACAGGAGTGGACGCAACTCAGGAGTGGACGCAACACAGGAGTGGACGCAACACAGGAGTGGACGCAGCACAGGAGTGGACGCAGCACAGGAGTGGACGCAACTCAGGAGTGGACGCAACACAGGAGTGGACGCAACACAGGAGTGGACGCAACTCAGGAGTGGACGCAACACAGGAGTGGACGCAACACAGGAGTGGACGCAACACAGGAGTGGACGCAACACAAGAGTGGACGCAACACAGGAGTGGACGCAACACAGATCTGACGCGCTCAAAGGCCGCTGTGAGAAACACTGAAGTTTAAAGAGGAAGATATCATCATCTGACTTTAGATCTTTGCTTGCTTGCTTGCTTGCTTACTTGATATGCACATCAACATCTGCACATAGTGCTGCCATCTGGTGAGCGCCCTCGTAGTGAGGGCTGCGTATGTCAGCCATTACAGACCCGAGCACCAAATCACTACATAAACAGATTTAGACAAAGCTACAAGGCTACTTTACCTTCCCACCAGGATAGCCCCAGAAATTCAGGATATGTAAACAAATGTATATTAACCCGTTTTAAACCCTCATGAGAGTTGATTTTAGTCACGAATATACATTTAGCTCAAATGTATATTTAGGTAGGCTAGTTTTAGGTTCTTGAGGGGGGCCTAAAACTTGATAGTTAGGCTTTAAAACTTAGGCCATGAGCAGGGGAACTTGGGATTTCGTGTGGTGTGCTCGGAAGCACTTAGAGTGTGTAGTTGTTATCATCAAGTGTAACGTTAATTAGAATCACCAGTGAGGTATCTAATGGCACTTAGTCAATGTAACAAGCGGTAGAGTTGTTAGTGAGTATCTATTAGCATGATTACTGTTGAGCCTGTTGGTATCTGTTGAGCCTGTTCCCTTTGTTGAACCTGTTGGTATTTGTTGACTCAGATGGATTTTGTTGAACTTGCTAGCTTTTGTTGAACTTGTTTCCTTATGTTTATTTCTTTACCTGAACTTGTTTATTGTTTGCTGAACTTATTGTTGATTATAGAACCTTATTATAGTTGTTGACTCTGTTGATGTTTGTTAAACTTGTTGCTATTGGCTGAACCTGTTGTATTGGCTGAACCTGTTGTATTGGCTGAACCTGTTGTATTGGCTGAACCTGTTGTATTGGCTGAACCTGTTGTATTGGCTGAACCTGTTGCATTGGCTGAACCTGTTGCACTGGCTGAACCTGTTGTATTGGCTGAACCTGTTGTATTGGCTGAACCTGTTGTATTGGCTGAACCTGTTGTATTGGCTGAACCTGTTGTATTGGCTGAACCTGTTGTATTGGCTGAACCTGTTGTATTGGCTGAACCTGTTGTATTGGCTGAACCTGTTGCATTGGCTGAACCTGTTGTATTGGCTGAACCTGTTGTATTGGCTGAACCTGTTGCATTGGCTGAACCTGTTGTATTGGCTGAACCTGTTGTATTGGCTGAACCTGTTGTATTGGCTGAACCTGTTGTATTGGCTGAACCTGTTGTATTGGCTGAACCTGTTGTATTGGCTGAACCTGTTGTATTGGCTGAACCTGTTGTATTGGCTGAACCTGTTGTATTGGCTGAACCTGTTGTATTGGCTGAACCTGTTGCATTGGCTGAACCTGTTGCATTGGCTGAACCTGTTGCATTGGCTGAACCTGTTGTATTGGCTGTACCTGTTGTATTGGCTGTACCTGTTGTATTGGCTGTACCTGTTGTATTGGCTGTACCTGTTGTATTGGCTGTACCTGTTGTATTGGCTGTACCTGTTGTATTGGCTGTACCTGTTGTATTGGCTGTACCTGTTGTATTGGCTGTACCTGTTGTATTGGCTGTACCTGTTGCATTGGCTGAACCTGTTGCATTGGCTGAACCTGTTGCATTGGCTGAACCTGTTGCATTGGCTGAACCTGTTGTATTGGCTGAACCTGTTGTATTGGCTGAACCTGTTGCATTGGCTGAACCTGTTGCATTGGCTGAACCTGTTGTATTGGCTGAACCTGTTGCATTGGCTGAACCTGTTGTATTGGCTGAACCTGTTGTATTGGCTGAACCTGTTGTATTGGCTGAACCTGTTGTATTGGCTGAACCTGTTGTATTGGCTGAACCTGTTTCAATTTGTGGCATCTGTTGCTTGTTGTTGAACCTAATGTATTGATGGCTTGCACCTGTTGCTACTGGTCGAGTATATTTCTGTTTGGTGAACCTGGGTCTATTTATGCCGTGTATAGTCACCAGACCATCCTCCTGTTGTGGTGGTGCTTGTAGTAACGATGAGGGCCGTAGTACATATAACGACGTACAGGGCAGTTAGAAAGTAGAAATCAGTACTATTGAATTTGGACAAACTGGAGAAAGTTTTGTATTTATGTTGCAAAGACAACCTAAACTAACCTAACCTAAATTAACCTAAACTAATCTAATCTAACCTATGTTAACATAACCTAACATAATTTAACCGAAACTAACCTAACTTAACCGAAACTAACCTAACTAAACTAACCTAAACTAACCTAAACTAACCTAACCCAACCTTACTAGGCCTAATCCACGCTATCTGAGGCCTATATAGTACATATGTGCGCTATATTAGGCCAAGAAATATTTTAAGTTTATTTTCTAGCTTAATATTTTTCCGACTCAATAAAGTGAATAGTACAAAATCCTACTATCTAGTTGCTTAATAAGTCAATGGTGCACATAGCTACAGAAACTACTATGCAAACAAGAGGATGGATTGCATACATATGTTTAAACATATAAACATATTGTGCCAATAATGTCTTTCAAGAGAGATTGAGCCTGCTTTTCCCTACTTCAACTTACGCCAAAAGATACAAGTATAAGATGCTACATTCAAGATACGTCACCGGTAGCACAAAACGTTTTGACCAGGAGGCAAAACGTACCCAGATTCCCCCCACTCCACACACCCTCCACACGCCGGCTCGTCATCAAACCAGCTAACTACCCTTCACCTTGCCTGCCCCTGATTGGTGACTCGCCAGCCGCGCACCTGCACACCGCACCTCAGCGCCCTCTACCCGAGTCGACGTCTGAGCCTGACCAGCTATCAACTTCAGAATATTCCTTGTGCTCTTAGCGTTGACATCTCTCTCTGGCATACTAGCTCATTAGCTCGTATACGAAGGGAGGTTTCAGCCATAGCCGATATTCTCAGCACCATTTTAACATTGTAATTTTGTGTCTCACATTGTCTTTACAGTTCTTTATTATTGAATTTTTAACTCCCCGAAATTTGTCTTTATTTTCATTTATGTTTAAAGTAAATATATTAAAGTTTCATTATTCATACTTTGTGTTTTACGTGTTCCTCTCACTTACCACAGACAACAGGCAAACAGTCTATATTTATGTTTTGTGTGTGACCAGGCATTGACACCTGCCATTGGAGGACTGCCGAACATCAACACTCCAACACTTTCCCGTCACAATATATAAATATATATAAAATTTATATATATTGATATATAAACATCATACAATGTGTTATGTTGGAGATGCCATCTTGGTGTAGAGGGAGTGACATCACCGGTGATGGTGTAGAGGGAGTGACATCACCGGTGATGGTGTAGAGGGAGTGACATCATCGGTGATGGTGTAGAGGGAGTGACATCACCGGTGATGGTGAAGAGGCAGCCCAGAGGCCACACAGTACATGTATCCCCTGGGGATTCACTGTACCTGTAGCCCCCTGGGGATTCACAGTACCTGTAGCCCCCTGGGGATTCACAGTACCTGTAGCCCTCCCTGGGGATTCACAGTACCTGTAGCCCTCCCTGGGGATTCACAGTACCTGTAGCCCTCCCTGGGGATTCACAGTACCTGTAGCCCTCCCTGGGGATTCACAGTACCTGTAGCCCTCCCTGGGGATTCACAGTACCTGTAGGCCTCCCTGGGAATTCACAGTACCTGTAGACCTCCCTGGGGATTCACAGCACCTGTAGCCCTCCCTGGGAATTCACAGTACCTGTAGGCCTCCCTGGGGATTCACAGCACCTGTAGCCCTCCCTGGGGATTCACAGTACCTGTAGCCCTCCCTGGGGATTCACAGTACCTGTAGCCCTCCCTGGGGATTCACAGTACCTGTAGCCCTCCCTGGGGATTCACAGTACCTGTAGCCCCCCCCTGGGGATTCACAGTACCTGTAGCCCCCCCCTGGGGATTCACAGTACCTGTAGCCCCCCCCTGGGGATTCACAGTACCTGTAGCCCTCCCTGGGGATTCACAGTACCTGTAGCCCTCCCTGGGGATTCACAGCACCTGTAGCCCTCCTTGGGGATTCACAGCACCTGTAGCCCTCCCTGGGGATTCACAGCACCTGTAGCCCTCCCTGGGGATTCACAGCACCTGTAGCCCTCCCCTGGGGATTCACAGCACCTGTAGCCCTCCCCTGGGGATTCACAGTACCTGTAGCCCTCCCCTGGGGATTCACAGTACCTGTAGCCCTCCCCTGGGGATTCACAGTACCTGTAGCCCTCCCCTGGGGATTCACAGTACCTGTAGCCCCCCCCTGGGGATTCACAGTACCTGTAGCCCTCCCCTGGGGATTCACAGTACCTGTAGCCCTCCCTGGGGATTCACAGTACCTGTAGCCCTCCCCTGGGGATTCACAGCACCTGTAGCCCAGGGGATTGGAAAATCCTAATCGGGTCGTGTTGTAACTCATGTGTTAGTATGTGTGATTGATTATGTGCGATTAATATGTGATTATGTATGATTAATCAAGTGGGTAATTAATGGACATCGTACCACACAGTGGCTGAGAGTTGCTGGTCCTGACTCGTCGCTTGAATCTGTAAGTTGTTTATCAAACTTTATTGGTGAATAAACGTGAAATTTTTTCTTGAAACATCAATAATAATAATTCTAATATTAATCCTAATAATTTTTGTTGAAATATTGTAGCCAAATGCACTAGGACATTAGCTGTTCTATTGAGGATTATTGTCCACTAATTTGGGATTCCTGTCTACTGTCTCCTCTAAAATTGTCAGACAAAAGTGATGATCATTGCAGTTAGTAATGACCGTAACATTTGCTAGTAATCAGTAGCTACTTACTGGTCCAGTCCTTTGCTACTTTCGACCCAGTACCGCGCACGCGCGCGCGCACACTGCAACATAGGAGAAATGGGTTGGTCTGTGAGGCTCACACAAGGAGCCTTATAGACACAGGAGAGATGGGGTTGGTGTATAAGGATGTGTATTCTATAAGGCTCACTAAATGTGTACACTTCTTGAAGTATTCAGTCTTACAAGTTCCTCCTTCAAGGTCTGCCTCTATAGACCTTAGAGATGCGATGTGTCACACCCTGATAGATGTACTTCTTCAGGTTATCTTGAGTTGATTTCGGGGCTTTAGTGTCCCCGCGGCCCGGTCCTCGACCAAGCCTCCACCCCCAGGAAGCAGCCCGTGACAGCTGACTAACACCCCAGGTACCTATTTTACTGCTAGGTAACAGGGGCATAGGGTGAAAGAAACTCTGCCCATTGTGTCTCGCCGGCGCCAGGGATCGAACCCGGGACCACAGGATCACAGTCCAGCGTGCTGTCCGCTCGGCCGACCGGCTCCCCTTGTACAAATAACAACGTCGGCGGTTATACCACCTGAAATACACACAAAACCCTGCAACACATTTTTGACTGGCGAACAAAACATATTGACCTTTCAACTATTAAAAAAATCTTGTAAATGGATGGGAAATAACAGACAATAGTATTAATGACATTATGAATACCCGCTCTCTACATATTAACATTATTGTTAACATTAGTTTCAGTAGTTGCATAATTATTATTATAATTTTTAAGGGTGATTACATAGATGTGTAGATGAGTTAACAAGTGTATATGACTCAAGCTAGGGCTGAGTGGGCCGACATGTACTAACAATAAGCTCTATAAGGAATGGTATATTTGTCATGGGATCATAACAGAGGATCCTCTGTCCTCGATACAATATAAATTGAATAAATTTCTTCGCAAACAAATCAGATAATCAAACAATCCAATGGGATCCAAATTAACGATTGGTCAAGCACCGTTGATTTATTGTTAATTACAGAAAATGCAAGAAGATATAATCGAAAACACAAGAAAAAAAAGGATCCAACACCACGTACAGAGGATCCAACACCACGTACAGAGGATCCAACACCACGTACAGGGGATCCAACACCACGTACAGGGGATCCAACACCACGTACAGGGGATCCAACACCACGTACAGGGGATCCAACACCACGTACAGGGGATCCAACACCACGTACAGAGGATCCAACACCACGTACAGGGGATCCAACACCACGTACAGGGGACCCAACACCACGTACAGAGGATCCAACACCACGTACAGTGGGACCCAACACCACGTACAGGGGACCCAACACCACGTATAAAGGACCCAACACCACGTACAGAGGACCCAACACCACGTACAAAGGACCCAACACCACGTACAGAGGACCCAACACCACGTACAGGGGACCCAACACCACGCACAAAGGACCCAACACCACGTACAAAGGACCCAACACCACGTACAGGGGACCCAACACCACGTACAGGGGACCCAACACCACGTACAAAGGACCCAACACCACGTACAGAGGACCCAACACCACGTACAGGGGACCCAACACCACGTACAGAGGACCCAACACCACGTACAGGGGACCCAACACCACGTACAAAGGACCCAACACCACGTACAAAGGACCCAACACCACGTACACCGGCTCTAAAACCACCAAGTAAAGGGAATTCGAGCCTGTCTATATCACCTGCTAATGACCTTGTAGATGAAGGTGGGATATAAACGACACTAATAAAGGTGGTGCGGAAGGAGAAATTAATAGAGAGAGAGAACACGCTAAAGTGCTCCAGGAGAGAGAGAGAGAGAGAGAGAGAGAGAGAGAGAGAGAGAGAGAGAAGGGAAAGGGAGAGAGGTCTCCTATGTTAGCACTATCCATGATAGCTCTCTCTCT